TCTTGTCTCGTTTGCTACCCCCGCCCCCGACAAACACCAAACCTCCAGCCACGCCCTTTTTGGGACTCCCCCCATGTCCCTGGCACCTCGGCACACGCGGCCTGCCGCGCTTTCGCCTGCTCTAGCTCGGCGCCTCCCTTCGGCCAGGAACTGTGCAGCCGCGCCTGCCACGCAACAGCCGGGAAGCCTTGAATTGTGCATGTCCGTGCATAGGCATGTGTGTGTATACCAAAAAGCTGTTTGTCCTGGACGACAAAAGGCCTACTTGCGACCCATGCCCCAACCATGCAGAGGAAGTCTCAAACTAGCGGGTAGACAATCATCATGGCTTGAGGAGCCCAACACCAAGTGTCAGAGCAGAACACGCACACATGTTGTCTTCGCTCAAAAGCTTCGTCGCCTACCACTGCTGCATAACTACGTTTGCTGCGTTGTGAGTCCTAATGTTGATGATGAGCAAGCGTATGTTCTTGCTCACCTTCCCAACCCGCAAGCAGAACGAACGCCAAGTTGCTACACAGAATGATGTTGGTGTCAGAGATGCTGCGTTGCATATGGCAAATCTATGACGGACGCACGAAAAAACAACGACTTGCCCCACAAAGAAAGCCCTCAAACATCATGCACCAACGTGGGACAGCATCGACTCGACTTCCACCAAGAAACTTTCTTGTGGATCCCACCCTCGAAAGGAAAAGAAAAGAAGAAGAAAAAACAGAAAAGGAAAAAACAACACGGAGAATGTCAGAGAGGAAACCAGCAACAAACGGCATCCACCCGTTCTCTGGAACTGGCGCCTGGAACTCTGGGCTGGAGTATCCTGCAATTAGCGCGTCCTGCATCTGCACCGCTTGCTCCAGGCTGAGCTTGGGAGGCCCGCCTCCGATACGGGGCAAAGGGGATCCTTGTGGGTGGCTGGGTGGCTGGGTGGCTTGGGGGGCGTCAAAGTCCGATGTTTGGGACCGGATCTGCTTGCCGCCCACCCCGGCGATATACTTTTGAAGGGTAGGCATGGGAAGCTGCGGGCAGTCCACGCGCGTCCCGGTGGCGGAAGTGCTGACAAGTTTCCACCCACAACGGTATCCCCGCACCAACAGTAACAAGGAAGCGAACACGGCATCTAAGGATCTTCCATCCTTCATCTTTGAGAGGATCACAGGTGCAAGCAGCCACCCTGCCCGGCTGCTGGCCAAATGTTCACAGTCCACCCACTGAACCCCCAGCACTGCCTTCCTTCACATTGGGACCAGGGCTGCAATCCAGGGCCGCCGGCGCGCAAGCGACCATCCAACCGCGGGTCCTTCGCCCCAAGCAAGTGCCACAGAGTCAGTCGCCCCAGGAAGACGCGCATTGAGACTTTGTCAAAATAGGGTGGCCGTTTTGACTTTCCTTTAAACCCTGAAGAAAGGAGCCCTCGCAACAAACACACACAGTCATGTTGGAACAACGGGCAAACATACTCTTTGGGCATGCTTGTGATGGGTGCAAATGCACTGGTTGGTGTCGTCCCTCCCTGCTTGCCAAGCAACTCCTCCTCGAAATCCGCGCACAGCTTGGCTTGCAAAGCGAAGCCATCACCGGAGGCAACATCTAAGCCTCAAAGCAACGCTTCGGAAGCTTGTTGCGAGGGTGACATTTCGGGGAGGCCCTAGCAGCATCGGGCCAAAAAATGCTTCTCCCCGAAAGTTTTGGAACATGTCAAGGCTGCCACAAACCCCGGATTTCGTTTGAACAAAAGGCTAGCAAGGATGCAAGTGGAGAAGCAAAATAGCCTAAATGGCACTGGAAAAAAACCACTCTGCTTCTCCGATGTTGATTGGCAGTGCCTTGCTGGTTGCGGAGCCCCGCAGCCAATGTTGAGGGGCGGGGGCGCTCGACTCGGATGGGTGTTGGACAAGCCAATAACTCGGATGGGTGGCGCATGTGGCAAGTGGACGCCGCTTCCACATGAAGGTACGCCTTTTCAGCCTCATGAACTCCGATGAACAAAAGTGCTCACCTTGAGCACATAAAAGAAACGGCATGAGTCCATGGACCGCAAATTCGCCGGGCAGGCGAGGCACCGGCCAGCGACCTCCGCAGCAGCGTCGCCTCCGCATGCGCAGAACGCGCGCGGCCGAAGTCCTGGACCTCCGTAAAGGCGTGGAGCTTAAGGGACGACCTCAGCGGAAACTCCAGCCTTGGAGGGAAACCACCATCTCAAATGATCGGGCATACGGAAGACCCGGAAAAAGGACACATCCACATGTGTCAGGATGTCCCCAACTGGAACTATTGAATGAAAAATACAAGGTAACAAAGGGACTCTTGCCAACCCAAACAGCCAATGATATTTGCAGCGACCCTTCCCACAGCGCGCGCTTTCATCCCGCTCAAACAAAATTTGACGAAGACCACACGTGGGCATGCAATATGAATCGCAAAAGCTGGGCGGTGCCTGCAACATGCTCAGGGGAAACGCCCGACGCTGAAGCTCAGCCCCCGAAAGTGACATCCCTTGGATTCCTTTGCAGCCAACGTCTCCCAACAGTACCCTCAAAGAAATTGACCCACTGTGCTTTTTCGGCGAGCCCAACGAGGCCAAGCGGCCCATGCACCAGCGAGGCCGCCGCCCCTTCGGCAATCTTGATGCCAAGATTGCTGAACGCCGAGTGCTGGAAGGCTCTGCTGTAGCAAGCCTCGCGAAGTGGGCATGACAGGATCACAATGAGCCATCAGTTCGCAGAAACTCCTCGCCACCCTGGTGCCATGCATAAAGCATAGCCTGGCCAATCTAAGGCAATCAGGGCCAGGGCAACAAAAGCCCCACACCCAATCAGTGATCAGCGCAGCCTGCTTTGTCGGGCTGCTAGACATCCAAACCAACCAACTCACTCAACCATACTCACCAGGGACCGGCAAGAATCAACCAACGTGTTGTACCTGCGTGCGCGGTAAACGTAAACTTCGCAAGCTGAGGATTTTGAAAGGCCCAATTTTTCTCCTCCACAAGTGCTTTCAACCAAAACAACTAACCCCGTGGCAATAAGAACAGGGAGGTCGCCTGCTCGGTAAATGGAAAGCACAAACGCACCGAGGGGATCTGCAAGATCCGCCTTCCCAGCACTGCCAGAAGCTGCACTACCACTTTCCAAACTAGATTGCCTGAGGCGGCCCGACATCATGCATTTGTGCGCTGCAAGCAAGACAGCCACACATCCCCCCCCACCCCCACACCCCCCCCCCGCCTGCCCGCCGAGCTCTCGCCCTGAAAGCGGGGGCTCCAGCGGCTCCACCAGCCGCAAGCAGTCCTCCTCAAAGAAGAGCGCGGCCCCGCAAGCCAAGCGTAGCTGCCGGCTGGCGCCCTAGCCAAAAGCCGGATGCCCAAAAGCAACGTTGACCTCAGATTTTGTCTCCAGGTGGCCTGTCCCAGGCACCGCACCGAGGCCGCAGAAGTTGGCAGCTTGGGCGCCAGCACAAGCTGCGCCGCACACAGCTCGCCCTCTGCCAAGCAAGGCGCAGGCCAGGTGGCGAGAGACAGCTGGGGCAGCGCCTGGTACTAAGAACCAGCAAATGTTTCTTTTTGAACATGCCCAAAATTTGGGCCCCCCTTTTACTCCCTGCAAGGGAAATCTAAAGGGGAACCAACAGGATAGGGACGCCTTTGGAGGTTAATTTAAGCAACACCCAGGATAAAACTGCGGCCCCCAACGACCTATCCAATCCGCAAAGATCCGCCAAGCTGGAAGCCCCGACTCAGACCCTGCCTCAATTTCCCTTGCCTCTTGGGGGGGTTAGACCGCCTCTGTGGTTGGGCTATCCCCCCTCGCACCACCTGCAGGTGTACCACGTGACCCGCCTTCTCCAGTCGCAGCTGCTCAGCTTCCTTGGCCCCACAACCGAGGCCGAAAGAACAAACGCCCTCAAAACAAATCACAAGTGATGCTCCCAGCAAATCAAGGAACAAAAGCCTGGACGGCTAAAGACATCGCTGTGCTGATTGCCTGGATGGCCAGGCGCCACGTACCCTTCCAAACACGGAAGTTCAACGACTGTTGGATGTCATCCCCTAAGTGGTGGGTTGAAGGGGAACAACCCCATTTACTGACTTGGATAACCCCCCAGCAACCGTCAAAAAAACAAAAAACGGAAGGCCATGTTCATTTTGGAAGGGGGCCCATGAACTTCCATGACGGATAGCCCAAAAGCCCCTCGAGCACCTGCCCCAGGACGAGGATCCTCCCAGCTTGTGGGTGCCCGGACCAGTGCCAACCTCACTGGGCGATGCTGCTATTTGAGTGCTTCGTGTTAAAGTGGTTTTCTTTTCAGAATTCATTTTAGGGGTTCCTTGCTTCCCCCCTGTTCTTCAAGCTTCAAGTTTCTCCTAAACTGCGCATGCCCCTCACCCTAAGCACCCGAAGCAGCTATCTGCGCTGGATTGGTTTGCCCCCCGGAAATCCGTCGCCGTCCGACTTAAAGTAAAACCGCAGCCAGCGCAGTTTGAGCAGAGCCACGGGTCTTGATCGTCTGCTGCTTCCTCTGCCTCCTCTTCTGCAATTTCTTGGCGAACTTCGTCGCCACTGGGAAGATCCCGTGCTGGCTCCTTGGGACTGGCCAGCTCTCAACCAGCTTCGAGCTTTAACATTGCGCGCCTCGCGCACGTCGGCGGGGTCTGCATACGGGTCCCATTCCGTCATGGCATCCAAAAGCTGCTCACACCCGGCCGCATGGCTCGCGAGGGGCCAAGAGGAGGCAAGCCAGGCACTGGATCCACTCGCAGCTGCGCGTTGGACGAGCCAACAAGGTAGAATTGGTTCTTGCTTTTCTGTTCTCTCTCTCTCTCTCTCTGTCTCGTGCCATCGGACTCCGTCCTACTGGCGTAGGGGCAGAGAGGGGGCCCAACAACAAAACTCACTAGGGCATGTTCCCAAAAGAAGTGAAGACCTCTCAATTCGATATAATCACCCAGGGGTTTGCACCCCCCCCCGCTATCCAGCGGGAAGCGCAGTCGAGGCGGCCACATCAATAGTCTCCAACACCTCGGCGCGACAAAACCCGTCAAGGTGTCTCAAGCCCACCAAGCACGCAGCGCCCAAGTACCAAGGAAAGGCTTGGCCTGTACAATGCGGATCTCCTAGCTCTTGCTTACTGTTTGCCATCCTTAGCAGATTGGCCTTTGCTACGTGGCCCCTTGTTTGCAAAAATATTCAAAATCAATCGCTTGAAAGCTAGCCACAACACCCGGCAAGCAGCCCGTCCCCAAGTGTGGCCGGTTTTCTGGCCCCTCCGCCCCACAAAAACAAATAAAAGCCTTCAGGGTCTGGTAAAAAAAGGTAAATTGTGCGAGGTTCGCATTGTTTCGCAAAACTCTCAGGGCCTCGCATGACGGAGCCCGGCGTCGCCACGCCTCAGCTTCTGCGCGCAGGTGCACTACAACCCAACTGAAAGTGTGCCGTTCTGCACGCTAGCAACAACACGACATGGACGCAATGCCTAAATCAAGCTACAAAACAAAACAAACACAAGAGTGGGTTCCAAACAGACGAACACCACAAGAATAGGTGACAAATGGAGGTAGACTTCTGAATCAGTAGTGCCCCAAGGCCAGCCTCCTAATTTGTCCGTCTGGGGTGGAAGACCTTGTTGTTCAGTGGCTGGCAATGCCAGGGAGGCTTGGCCAACCACCCGTGCCTCTCTCTTAGGTTTCCCTACTTGGCCGATTGCTTCAACCCTGGGCTCCCGACGATCGTCCGCATTCCCGCAGCCGGCTCTCAAACCTCAGGGGAACGGCCATCCCTGCCAAACTGTTGCAGCCTCTGGTTCAGGAGGAATGGGCATTCCATGTTAACGCATGAGTTCGACGGGAAAAAATGCAAATCCACAGGTCCCCTCACCCTGGCTTTGCCCCAGTTCCTCCCAAAGCAAACTCACCAAAGAGTTCACGTGATTGCCGATGACAGACCGTGACTGACCTCGCGACATATGCATAGCGAAGGCAGCCCGCATACGATGCCCGCACCAGAACACCAAGGACCACACGAATAAGGCCGGTCTTGTGGGCACAAGCCCATCCTGTGAGCAGAGGCATCTGTTGCAAAAGGGGGTCCGCCACATTGCAAAGAACGGGGGGGGGCGGATTAATTAGCAGCCTGGCTCTTTGTTCTGTTTTGCTGTGGGTGAAGAGACCCCCGAGGTCGAGGTCCTGAAACTGCCATGAAAAGCCGCGCTACCAAGCGACATGCTTTCTCCGAGCGCGCCTTGCTACAAACTGGATGCCCGAACCCATACATAACTCCATTGCCATGGGCCTGAAAAACAAGAAACACACACATCCCATCATGGAGCCATAGCACATGGCCCGCCAACCCACAAGCTCGGTGTTCATGCCATAGAGCATACACAACTGTTCACGTACGCCCTGGCGTTGCCTTGTACTAGGAACCGCTTCGGACGTTCGCAACAAGTAAGAAGGAGCAACCAAACCACTTCATGGAAGTACCCCTTGAAGACCCGCTTGAAGGTTCCTCGCGATCCTCGCGACTCTCCCGCCTCAGGACTCGAACCCCAAGGTTGTGCAGCACCTGCACGCCCGGGCCTGTTTCCCGGTGGCGAGTTTGGCTTGATGTGGACAAACAGCCTCTGCATCCACACCAGATGAAGCAAGGTCACGCTACATTAGCGATACGCCTTTTCCTCAGCCTGGTACGAAAAGCAATGTCACGGCCGGATAACACATGCTTCACACATGTTCGCATGAAGCACATTTGGCCCTGAGCTCATGTTGCACTCCAAGCTTCAAGACTAGAACAAACGGCTCGACAAGTTCGCCCAACATGTTCTGGAATATGCCTACTTCTCGAACTTTGGCAAACTTGGGGGATCTCGTATCCGACTCGCCTCCGCCAAGTTGTCAGTTCCGCGGTTGCTGAAGGCACTGGCAAGGACAGGGCCCCTGCGAGTCCTGGCAACTGCCAGCATCCACACCATGCATCTTACTCGGATTGAAGCCTCACCGTCTTGAAGTGCGTCAAGGAATCGGCTGAGTTAGGAAAGTGCATTGACTGCGTGATGGATGCAAGTTCGATGCGCCTCAGCCAGCCGCAAATGATGGATACCGCAGTGGTGGTTTTCCCGGTGCCTTGCACAGAGAACTTGGTTCTGCATATGTGTTTTGCCGGCATGATTGGGGCAACCCTTTCTGGGTACACCTTTTAGCAGCCTGTGAACGCCCTAAATGAAAGGACTATCTCCATGTCAGCTAGCCTGACCATCATACGCCGCCATGTACCTCTGAAAACCTTTGACAATCTGTCCAGGCCATGTCTCTTCTTTGGCCCTTCAATTCACAGCACTCACCTCAACACCGCGCCTGGCGGCCCTTGAATAAGACTGAATCGTCGCCTCCTGTCGCTAAGCGGCGATAGGAGCCTGTGTGTGTGTGTGTGTGTGTGTCAACAATCCCAATGTTCCATCCTCTTTAAAAGCATTATCCAAGAAGCACGGCTGGTTTATTGTTCATGTATGTCGCAAACAGCGAGTCCGGGACTCATGCCATTTGTGCACATCATGCTGGTGCTGCCGTCATACGTGCCATGGCCATTGCAGCCATGTTTCGCTATTCGCAAGCGTGAACCTTTTGCCCTCGCACACCGCCCAGCGGGCCTCTCCAAGACCAGCCGCATGGCCGCCTCCTGGGAACGGTTCAGCTTCACACCTGGCAGGTCCAGCAGCCCACAGCTCACCCCAAAAAGGAAGTCGAAACCTATCAGAAAAACAGCTGGCCCTTGCACGTCGGCTCACAGAATCAGTAGCTCTGCCATGGCTTTCGCCCATAAATCCAGATCCTCGAGTTGGTGAAGCACCACCTGAGCCCCGCACTGTCACCGCCGTCGGGTATCGACCCTTTGGAGGTGTACCTGTGCCAAGTGGCTGGGCATGTTGAAACGTGAGTCCCTGCTGGATGGCTCCGAAGTCGACCAGACAGCAACACCCGATCAGGGCTCCCGAAACTTCCAAAGAGAGCGATGCTGAAGGAGTCCGCGTGGGCACGGCTGTGCGCCAATGTCAGGCTCCTGCGAGGCCTTGCTGATGTCAGCCTGCCGGTTGGCTTCACTCCAAAAGATCACTGAGACAAGGATCTCAAGCATCTCGCGCTTCGCTTGCTTTCGGTTCTGACGCGTTCCCCGAGTGACCAGCAATACCGTATTGAAAGAAGAATTCACCAGCTCAGGCGCGGGACTTGTCCAGCCTCTGGGTTGGGCTTCGGCCGCTGCAATGGGTCCTCAGTGCGGCCAGCAAGCGGAAGGGGGAGGGAGCTGAAGCTGCAACAGCCCCACGGCCACACATGTAAAATGTTGCTTCCTGCCAAGTTCAACGCAAGTGGTCATGCGTTTACTGCCACCCTTCCCACTTACAACCATATTCTGAAAATCACCACGCCGCACAGAAGATGGGCGAGGGCCCACGCCCACTTGGAGGCCGCAGCAGCGGATTCGGCGATGTCGGCGTAGAGCGCATCTTGGCACCAACGGGGTGCAGCTTCGCTCACGGGGACCATACCAATTCGAGGAATCCATTCCCCTAATGAAAGAAGAAGCAACTCTGGTGCTTCCAAAGGAGTATATACCGAACCTGGAGTTGACATTGTCCTGCCAGTGCTGGCAGGCTCAGTCTGACTGGGGCTGAGCTTGCTCCCATCAGACCTCACATTCCTGCTTCACAAATCAGTGCCTTGCTCTGCGATAGCGCGCATGCATTTTGTGCGAGTGTCGATTGGCTTGTCTGAATATTGGCCAACTCCCAGCGCCTCAAGAAAAAAAGGAACTACCCATCGAACCAAAGGTCGCCTTTGATGAGACATGTTGACCCCTGGATAAAAACACATACCTTACGATGTTCTTTGGCATGCAACCCGCTCTAGCAAAAGACTCCGCCAAGGCCGCGAGATGAGAAAAGGCGGTCCCTTCCAAAGCCACACAGTGAAGTCCAGACGGATTTTGAAGACTTGGACCGCACGTGGATGTTGAATGGCAGCTCAGCTGCCATGACATCCTTGAATAAGATTGCATCCCTGCGGCCATTTGGCACCGTACCTGATCAATTACTGGGTTCCACACTCAAAGAGAAATCCGACATTCTGAACCATTCTGGCGCTGAGACAGTTTTTCGACGCTGTTGTAGCTCAGAAGGTTGGACATTCCAGAAAATGCTGAAGTAAGGCTGGCTCCTTGAATCAACACATCACTACAGCATTGTCGCCGCCGGAGTTGAGCTTTTGTTGGGGGAGTGCCTTCGGTCGCAGATCTCCGAAATCGATGATCTGCTACGATGCCAATGGGTCAGTTGTCACATGTGGACCGAAGGCAAATCCCCCAAAAAAAGAATTGCAGTGGCGCCCACCCCCATAGCTCCCTCAGCTGCGCAGACCTCAGCAAGGCTGCGAGGGCAGTTTGGCCTGCCAGCTTTGAAAGCTGCCCAAACGGATCCTCGCACACACCAAGTGCATTAATGTTTTTTGCAGGTTCCAACTCAGAAGCTACCCAGATCGGAATAACTACCCCAGTTGCTCTTGAAGTAACTTCCTCTCGTTCCTCTTTGAGGTCGACCATATGCCAGGGAGGTAAAAACGGGGTGACCAGTGCTCAAAGTGAGTTGAGCCAACTCACCAACACAGTTCAGTGAAGTCCGCGCTGCCGCATTTGCACACCCAGTCAGATCATCTCGCATTTGCCAGTGTGCACACAAGCGCAAACGCGCAACATATATGATCAAGAACGCGTCAGCAGCCCTTTTGACTCTCCTGGATCGTGCGCTCACTCAAAATCCGTGGTCAGAGTGTCTACCCAAGTTAACAGTGCCTTGTTGACTTGGCCTACGCTCAAAGGACACTGGAATGGATTCGCCTGAGCTGAGGGACAGGCCGAAACTGAAAGGAAATGATAGAAATGGCCAGGCACACAACGTGGCATGCATCTGTGGCGTGCCTTCCCATTCTCATGCACTGACTTCGAACAAAAATTGGATTGGTGCGCCGTTGCGCGATCTCCAGCACCAGCCAGCATCAAAACAGCCCTCAAGCCCGCTCCTGGCAAGGGACTCTCTCTCGTGCCATTGAGATTCAACTGCAGCCACTCTGCATAATGGCACATTCAATTGCGAGCCAGTAGGGGCTTCTAGGGTTCAAACTCCGGGTTCAGGTGCATCATGGCCTTTACTAAGGGGTCGCAAGTGGTCGAACCCTTATCCTATGAGCAATCCGCTATTCGCTATTCCGGGTCCCTCTCTTTCTTCAAAAAGCTCGGCATACCAAGAGGAACTCTGGGTCCGAGCAGCCCCTCCGCCCCCTTCCGCTCCCTGTGCCCCCGGGCTCCTTGACCGCCTTCTCCGCGATGATCACCGCGTTCAGCGCGGCGCCTCGGAGCAGCTGGTCCCCCGAGACGAAGAACTCCAGGCCGTGGTCCCCGAAGACGATGGACTGGCGGATGCGGCCCACCTCCACATCGTAGTGTCCCGTGGCGTTCCTCAAGTTTGGGGCACCAGGGAGCAACCCGGACAAGAGTTGCAAAACCAGGAAAATTGCCGGAAGAAACCTTGGCACCTGCAACGCGAGTGCAATTTATTCTTGCACTTCCAAGAAATCCTCAATCCTGCACCATCACGATGCAGGGCAAGCGCTTTTCTGCTAGCATCTGGCGCCCAGTGACCCTCTAGGCTTGATATCTGCACCATCCAAGCGCCAATGTGCAAACAGAGTTCATCCAACCCTTCATGGAGTTGCTTGCCCCATGCCAAGCTTCAGCGGCATGGGGTACTTCAGTGACTCTGGGTCGTCCACCACCTTGACGCCCTCACAGCCCTCCAGCAGCTTGCGCACGTCGTCTGGGTTGATGGGCTCCTCAAAGAAGCGCCGTTTAGTAGTGCCGAGGTGGGGCAGTTCTACAAGCCCAGCCAAAACAATGAGAAGTCCTCATTTCATGCTACGGCTTCATGGCGCCCTTTCTGCCGCCCAAACTGTGGGTCTACCCTAAAACTTGTAAAGCTACAAAAGAGTGCCAAAAAGAGGAGCAAAGAAACCATTGGCAACATCTACGGCCGCGCATATGCTTCACCTGGACACGAAGACCCCCTGGCCAGCCTCCCTCAATGACTCCAGGTAATTCGCCACTTCCCCTCCCTTCGCTCATCTCAAAAAGTACTGTTCCTTTTTCCAAGCAGATCCCTCTACCCCAAAAAGTTCTCTCTGTGCTCCATGCTCTCCCGCAGCCATGGCCGGAAGCCCAACCGGACCAACTGACACTGGCTTTGGGAAAGCACGGGCCGGCATTGCCAACGAAGATCCGTTGGGGTGAAAACCCTTTGTGGGGTGACCGATCACTTCCATTGGGTCTCTCCCTTGGGTGGTGGACTGCCCTTGCATTTTGAACCACCTCTCAACAACAATAACCTTGAACAAAACACTTAAACCAACAAGGGGTCACCCCCAAGAACAGCTTCGTGGTGACTCTAAAGTAGGCACCCACCTCCGAGTTCGAACGTCGATCGACCCATCCGATTCGGGCGAGTCGACCGACCCACTGTCCCTCCTCCGTCTCGATGGTGATGGACTCGGAGTGCGCCCGCAGCGTCGGCACCCGCACCGCGGTGCAGGAGACCTTCACGTCGTCGTCCAGGCCGAAGATCTTCTGCAGCTCCCAGGTCACCTGACGTCATTCCCCCAAGGGGACCAAAGCTTAGCAGAGCATTCAGCAGCCCAAGTTTCGACACAGTATCGCGTTATCTTTTTTCAGGAAGCCCCCCCCACCACCAACAAACGGCCCTTTCCAAGAGGAACGTGTCCATCTCGTCACGAGGCGCCTGATGGCTTCGTTCTTTTTGGTAGCAAAAACTTGACGTGGAAGCATTGCGATAACTGATGTTATGCAGCAGGTCTCCGCGCCTGTAACGACACATTTCTGTGCAGCAGCACAAATTATGTTCTTGAATTGTGCAACAAGTTCTGCTCTGCATTCCGTATGCTCGAACCGTGTTCTGCACACTGGCGTAACTTGAAGCCAGGCCAATTGATTACAACCCCCCCAACCCCGGTCCGCATTTGGAAGCGAAACGATCGCGAGTTGGATTCTCCCCCCCGCAATTCTCTGCGCTTCCGTGAGCTGTCCGACTTGGCATCGGAAAACTGCCTGAGTTTTCTATATTATCTGACTTGGATGACATTACTCAACCTTCTGCGAGCACGTCCGCCAAGCCTCCGTGGCGTGAACCGTTGCTTCCGTGGACATCTTTGGTTAACTGCTTCTGCGGGCACGTGTTGGTTGCTTTAACACATAAACCTTCCGCGACGCGAGGCCAACCCTTCTGCAAGCCCTCGCAAACTTTCCACGACTGCAGTCCTTCGTGCATTTTGCAACCCGCTGACTTGGTACTTGCACCGGGTGAAAAGCGAAGCTCAACTGTCGCAGCGCAATGCAGCAGTAGCTTTCTGCGCGCTGCGCAGTTTTGATTGGGCACAAGGTCTCGCGGCAGCCGAGGGCAAGGCGGCTGCTGGCTCCCACGGTCAAGTAGTTTTTCATATGGCCAAATCTAGGCCAAACTTGAACTCACATTCCACTGGCACAGGGTAAGTGAAGGCGTTCTTACACCCAGGCGCATGCGAGCTTTTTTTGTTGCCGCGTTCTCTGAGGGCCACGCTTCCTTTTGCGCACATGAACTGCATGGGACGCATGTCCACCAATCTGTTTGGCTGCATTTCAAAGTAACAGCCAATAGATTTTCTCATCTTAGCCCTTTCCTAAGGGAAATTAATAGAGGCCGGTGTGAGGGGCTGGCAGGTACAGAAAAAGTACTTGGAAAATCCATTTTGGCCCGTCGAGCAAAGATGTTCTCATCGTTTGCCTTGCGAGTGACCCAGGCCCAAGTGCCTCAAGTGCCTCAAGTGCCTCAAGTGACCCAAGTGACCCAAGTGACCCAAGCCCAAGCGACCCAAGCCCAAGCGACCCAAGTGACCCAAGTGGCAGTTTCAATCACTGGTCCAAGCCCAAGTGATCCACGATTGTTTACCCGAAAGCAAGTGACCCAAGTGACCCAAGTGACCCAAGTGGCAGACCTCAGCTGTGTTCCCAGATTCTGATCACAATGGAACAACACCTCCTTCGCAACAACATGGCAACCTCCACGCATGCAGCCGTTCGCCGTGAAACACGTGCTGGCCTTCATCTCCTCCTTGGTGTACCCGTTCTCCTGGAACTTGTCAATCTGGGGGATGACCTGTGAGCCGGCTTCAGCCGCCGATTCAATCGCTAGTGATGCCAGTGCCATCCAAAAACGACAAAACTAGTAAGGCCTGACCAGGGGGCTCTGTGCTCACGTGGAATTTACTTATGCATCATATCCCAGTAGACCCCACTGCGTGCCGAGGCGCGTTGAAAGGCAACTGGTGGGCGAAGAATTCTGGCTTGGACACTTTGCCCTCCTTCACCCAGCTGGCCAGGCCTGAGGCAATTGCAAGGCGACAAAATGTTCCCACCTTCCTGCCCTTCAAGCAACCTTGGAGCCACAATGCCGCATCTTTCAGCTGTACTTCTGGTGGAGAAATCGGGCCCCGTTTCACTGCCTACCCAGCACGTGACGTTCCCAACGCTTCATCAAGGGAGGCGAGGGATTCGAACTCGGCGAGACATAGCCAGGCCGCCATTCTCCAGCTCCGCCATACCCTCGGCACCAGCACCGCTCGCGGCTTGGTAGGTGGACATCAGGACCTGCCCAGGCCAGGCAGGCAGACTCAATGTGAGCAGGTTCGTAGGAAAAGCCTCACTGTGCGGTTTAGCCATGAACTGAAACAAACAAAGACAGATCTTTAAACATTCTCCCCACTCAACTCAAAGCATGAAGCTGATAGGACCCTATTGGCACACTCCTGCCTTTTCAAACGTTGCCTTTCTATGCTACTTTCGGGGGGGGGGGGGTGAAGTGTGTAACCTTGCACCCTGTCCGCCGTGAAATCAATGGCCCTCTCTCCCCAGATGAAGGCAGGTTTAGGGTCGGCTGGCCACCCTGAAGAAATCTGGCCGTGGAAGTACGGGCTATGGCCGCGACATGCGGAAACCCCTACATCAAAGAGCTCGTGATCTCAAACGTGCGAACCTGTGAACTCCTGCCTTCTTCAGCTTGTACTTCTGGTGGATCGGCCAGAGTGCCATTGCGCCCACTGCAGTTGTGCAATTCGGATTGGCAATGACTGGCTGGTCGACTCTGCCCTCGCCGTTAATCTCTGGGATCACCAAGGGCTTGTCCTGCGTTCGAAAAACCTTCTGTCAACACAGCCAGCCAGCCAGCCAGCCAGCCGGGCTCCCCCGTCACTCACGCCTTCTCGTAGCGCCAAGCCGAGGAGTTATCGATCACCTGCGTGTTCTTGGGTCCGCCCGCCAGCCTGCAGCTGAAAGCCAGAAGCCAAGACTGCACAACGCCAGCAAAGGCCACGGCAAGCAAAGCACCTCGTAACTTGGGTCAATGGCACACCTACACAGAGACACACGCAAGCAGAAGGATTGTGGGCATACCCCACTTCTATGAATTCCCAATGATCATTTTCTCATTTTAAGGGGGGCCTCATGCCAATCAACCAACAGGGACCGCACCGTCAATCTGCACATTCGACAGGACTTATTTCCTTTTTACGAAGATGCTCCCTCCTGGCAGGGCTGTTGATCCCGCAACGCCCTTCCTGGTTCTGCGGAACAGGTCGCAAGCCGAGGCACTTCTCGGCCCATTCCAGGGAGAAGTCGCCAGACACCGCCATGAGGCAAATGTCGCACTCTTGCCTGAGCAACGCATGGAACCCAAACCCCTCTCCAAGCCCCCTTCTGCGGTTTCTCAAGCAAGCACCCGAGATGGCCTTTTTGTTTTAACGGTCTTTGAGGTCTTTTCTAGAACACACCCGCGGGGCTTGGAGGGGCGGCAGGAGTTGGGCCTACTTGCCCTTCCCGAAACCATGGATCGTCAAGGGTGACCAAACATGCTGATGGATTGCTTCAACTGAAGACTTCTAAGACACTTTGGCCTTGTTCGCCCAAAGCCTTCCAAACTGCCCAAACCAATGACCTTTCTGCCAACCTTGCAAAAAGTGCTTTCCGGTTGATTTCCCTGGCAACCAACCAAAAAACAGGTGATTTCCAAGCTGATTTCCCTTGAAACCTCAAAAAAATGTGGCCTTCCAGTGCCCACTCTGGCCAGGCGCACGGCTTCCGCGGAGAACTTCTCCACGGTGATCTCCCCGAACTTGGACTCCACGGTGCTCCCCGCCGAGCGGTTCCCGAAGAGCCGCACCTTCTCCGTGGGGAAGTCCCGGTCCTGAAGCAAAAAAACAGATGGCCGGATGGCCCGGCGTCAGTTGTTGTGGCTTGTTGAGAGTTGTTGCGTGTTCTGGGTTGTTGTGCTGTGGGATGTTGCGGGGCGTTGTCGTGGGGTTGTGGGGGGTTGTTGTGGGGGGTTGTTGTGTTGGAGGTTGTCGGCTGCTGGTTGTTGATTGGTCTTTTAGGCCGAAGGTGCACGAAAGTCTGGGGGGACACACCTTTGAACATGGGTTCTCGCCAAGACTTACGGAAGGTGCAAGAAGATAGTCCCCAATCTTGGAAGACATCCAAATTAACATGGGCGTGTCTCAACCTGCAGCTGCCGGCCTCCAAGCATTTGAGCATCTCTTTGCCCACCGCGCCAGAGCAGCCCAAGATTCCCACGCAGTCCTGAGCCCAATCAAATTCATCTTAGCACCATGGACAAGCCGAAGGTTTCGCAACCGCAGCCCAATTCAGCAAACAAGCATTGCAAGCGCAGGGATGCAAGCAGGTGCCATCAGCACAAACATTGCGCATGCAGTTCGCCTCGACTTCTTTCACCTCCAAGAGTCCACCTTGCCCCCTGCCATGCCCACACGTGTGGCCCTGGCCATCTTCTTGCCCCGCGCGCTTCTGCGCGCCGCCGCCGCCATCACCCCCACAGCCCCCGCCACGCCGGCGCCGGATGAGAATCCGGGATCTGTGCGACGGGCGGTGGGTTGGGCGCTGACATGGGGCGCCGACACCGTGGACACGGACGGGACTGTCACGAAAGCGAGCGACATGGCAAGAGGCGTCTTCAGGATCCCCCCGCTCGACTTCGAACCAATGCTGCGGAAACGGCCGGAGGATGGGTTTCCGGCCAACCAGTTCGTCCTTCCAAAACCCCTCAACCTGCCCAAGTCGCACAAAGCAGAACACCAACACACGAGCTTTTTGCCGGAGACGCTTCTGAGGCCGCGGCTAGGGAGATGCGGAAAGGACTCGCGAGCACAAGCGCATTGCTGGTGAGTGGATATAGGCATAGATTTAAAGACTTGAGCCTATCAGCAGGCGCAGGTTGCCAAAGCAACTCCATACACGATCTCAAACATTCATTTCATCCAAGCAAGACGCATCTGCCGAAGGACCTTCCCTCCCCCAAACACCTGCCCTTGCTAATTATGCCTGAAGGGGGCAGTACTTCAGCCCTTCAGCATTGCCTAAGTGCAGCCGAAGCGGCTGGCAAAGGGAGTGCCAGGGAGCAGCAAGCCAGTCAGGTTTGTGTTTTGGTTCAACCGCTCCTGGCAACGTCACCGGCCCCGAACCCTGCGAAGGCTTCGCCAATCTGGAGTAAACTGCGCGGGTGTCCCTCCTTTGCCTCGAGATGATGTGGCAAGCCAACGTCCAAGCATGCCAGGGAGCGCAACGTTGTTCCTGGCCCTCTTGGCCTGGAAGGTGCCCAGGCCTCGGCAGACACATTGCATCGTACGTGTTGCCGGGCCTTGAGCTCATCACGCAGTGTGAAGAAGGGACGAGGACAGCTTTGGTATCGAGGCCATTACGCAAGTGTCCCCGCCACTTGTCTTGAGCTGGGTTAGCGTGTAACTCGGATTGGCTCTCAGTTTTTCAGATTCATGCCAGTCAGCAGCGCACACGCACGGGTGCCGGTGCTTTGTCCACCGCTTGTAACAGCAGAATGAATTGCTTTGCACCCAGCACATCACCGCTCTGCTAGGGCCTAACTGTTAGGGCAAGCAGCCAGGAACCGACACCTGTGCAGGTCACTTCTGCTACGAGCCCACCGCTCACTAGCAGCTAGCAGCAATTGGTTGGCCTGGACAGCAAGCAGGTGCGTGGGACGGGCGTGGGACGACATTGCATACCCGCAAACGATTCATTGAACGGCATGCTTCGGTTTCGAAGTTCCCCTTCTAGGCCCTCCAAGACCCTAGCCTTCAACCCCACTGCCTTAGAGGAAAAGCAATCGGCCAAGCTGAATCAGCGCAGTTGTCTGGTCTTGATTGCCACCTGCCCTCAAAGACCCTGATCCTCCTCGACTGCTGCCGCCTGCCCCTTTTCATCGCGCGCTCAAGGCTTCCCTGGCTTTGGCAGGACACCCCGGAGGCATTCATCGCTCTTGCACTCGCCCGGCCACCACAGCTCCCTTGAAGAGCGAGGCCCATGGGGCCCATGGGGCTCATGGGGCCCATGGATGGCGCTAATGTGGGTCATGCGCCCATGGCCGGCTCCCCCAGCACAAAGGCCGCGGCTGCGCGCACCGGCTGGCGCAGCTCCAAGGTCTCGTCCCGCCGGGCGCGGATGGCGGACAGGGCCTCGTGGCTTTGGCCCGCCAGATGCGCGAGGACCTGCCGGTGCACACGTGGCGACAGCCAAGGGTTCCCTCCACGCCTCTTGACTCTTGACTGGCAAGGCAGTCAGGCAAGATTGGTTTGGTGATAGAGTATAAACGTAATAAGTGGAGAGTCATTGGCAAGGCGGAATTCTTGGGAAGTCCCTGGTAACCCTCTGGTTCCCTACCTCGGGGACTTCCCAACCACGACAAGTGGATTTATGGCAATTGTCAAAACCCGGTTAGGACGATTAGGGCAGGCCATGTGGGCTGTAAGCATGCCCACTAACCACTTGCCAAGCATCCTGCCCGTGAAAGCAGGCAACGGCTGCCGCCATTTTTGGACAGCTTGGGGAGACCAAGTTGGACGGGGCCCAACGGAGACCAAGAAGGAATGCACGGCCAGTTTTGGGCGGACGATATGATCGAAACATGGCTCCTGACATGACCCCTTTTGAACAGCAACCCAGCAAAAGGGAAACTCAACGAGTATTGGCTCAGCAGACGATGTCAAAATCAAATGAGGAAAATGAAAGGCCAACGCTCGCAAGGGATACTACTCTCTCTCTCTCTCTCTTTTTTTAGCCGGTTTCTATGGAATATGGAAAATACCCTGCCATGTGTCCACAGTGGGCTCTTTTCTTGCTCTTTCTTAGGATCATTGAAAAACGAAATTCGATCCACTGATGATTGGTGTATCCTGCCAAGAGCCAACAAGTAGCACGCAAGCCTTGGGCCTCATAAGTCTTGAACACGTTACTCTGTTCAACGGCTGAAGCGGCAAAACAGCCCGACCCACTTTCCATCCTGCACCGCCGTGCAGCAAACCCCAGTGTGACGATCTTCCATGAGCTCAGTGACGGTGGATATGATGGAGGCGTCATTCTTTGGGGCCAGGCGCCTCGGTCGCATGTAAGGGTTATGCTAAAACTTGAACTAAAGAGGGCACGAACGAAGGCGGGGCGGTCAGTGTTGGCGATGTTCCCGCAACCCTAGTGCAAAAACTGAATTGAGTGCGTCGGCAACTAACCAATGCGATGCAAAATGCTCGTGTCATACATATCCATTTCAAGGCAGCACTCTGCCAAGCAGCCATTGGCCTTCAACTTGCAATGTGCTAGCCCTCTTCTACAATTCTGAATTTCAGCCCTAGATTAACTTGCAACCTTTCGCCAACCTCTACATACCACAAATATATACACACATACATTTGTAGGGCCATCCACCTCCAACCTCTAGTTGGCATATGTCTGGCCTCCAACCTCTAGAGACAGACCATGGCTATGAGGGCGGCCTCTGCGAAATCGGCGTCCGAGGCGCCCCAGGGCCTCCACCGCAGCCAGGCGCACGCGCCCGTCCTGGTGGTCCACCAGCGCCAGGATGGCGCTGGTGGCGGTCAGGTCCCCCTGGTGCGCCACCTTCAAGAAACATCCAAAAGGTGTTCTTGGAATGGCCACCAAACATCCAGGCAAAATGCACCAAAGAAAGAGAGGGGAACCCCCTCAGCGTGGGTATTTTCCATGTGAAACGAGTGCTTTTCCAAATTGGGGGGTTGCGTGCAATTATGTGTGTATATATCCTCTGACCGCAATCTGCGCTGCAACTTTGGCCAGCTAGAAAGCATCTGATCCATCTGCATCCTGCACTGAGTCGTCCCATCCTCCACTCTGGGCTAAGACGGCACTTGCAGCAGAAGACATGACCTACGAGGATCTCAAGGAGATCGTGGATGGCTACCTATGCCCACCTTGCGCCGCAGTAGTCGCCTTGCAGAGCTGTTCCTGCTGGAGCTCGAATGTTGTAAATCTTCTGGCGAGCTTCGTATGTTATACGAAACTTTTCATCTGAACTTTGTCCTCATCACCTTATTACCTGCAACTTTGACTGCAACCAAATGTGCATCTTCAAGCTCAGCAACTGGAGCAGCACCTAGATGCCAGAGCTTTCTGTCAATCCTGGAAGGTGAGCTGGGCCCGCACCTGTTCTTCAACTGGTGCCAGGCGAGTAGTCTGATCTTTGCTCAAGTAAGCTGCACCTAGCCATTGGATCAGCTTCTCTACATAAGAAGCTGCATACTTTGAGCTCTGCTGGAGCTTGGTCTTTCTTTGCAGGGCACAGTCAGCTTCTTTCAGCCAAGCTTTCCTTTGCATCTCATTTCTGCAAAGCTCTGCCCTGACCATGCATCTCTCTGCCCTTGCAACCAGAAGGGCCAAGAACTCTTTCAGCAGCTCATTCTTTGAAACGTTGTGGCTATAACTCCTTTCTTTCTGCAACCTCTGCTAAACTCTCCCTTTCTCCCTCCGCCAGCTGCTCTGGCAAACCTCTTCTGCAATCTTCTAGCCTCTGTGTGCTCATCTTGAACTTTCTCCTTGCAACTGCCCACGCTTCTGCTTCTGAGGCTAAGCCTCTTCCAGAATCATCTGAATCTCTTCACTAAGCTTCATATTCTGAAAGGCAAAAAGCTCTTGCTTCCTGGAAGGATCTGTCTCCTTCTTCCTGTTGCTTAACTGCCCACCTGCAGTTCCTCTACGCCCTTCCAGAACTGGAGGCCTGCCACCTTGTCTGCCTGCTTCTCTCTGAAACCGCAGTCTTGTTACAACTTCTTCTGGGTCTTTCTCAAGCTCTGCTAGCTTCTAAAATTAAAGCTAGCTTCTGGAGGTAAGCTGACTTCACTAGTGCAGCTTCTTTCTGCAGCTTGCTCTGCTGCTGCCTCTGGTATGGAACTACCCTGTTAGATAGCACAGGTTCTATCTCCTTGGCTTGCTGCTCCGGTGTTCCAAAAAACTTCTTTTCTTCTCTAAGCTAGCTGGGCTGGAGCTGGGTGCAAGCTGGCTGGAAGCTAAGGACTCTGTCGGGCTTGCTGTCACCTGAAGCTGTGTTGTCGGGCTGGCCACACCTTTGGTTTTCTTGTTGTTTGTTTTTGGAAAACCTTCTAAGCTCTTCCTTGCAAAGCTGTCCTGTGTTGAAGCTTTTGCTGCAGATTGTCTTATCTTGGCTGCTTCCTGCTGGGCTTACCTTATAAGTAAGAAACATCGAGAAATCAAAAGAAGGTGTCCAAAATCGGAAAAAATTGGGAATTCGCAAGAAACGATCCAAAATCAAAAAAACGTCGAGAAAACAAAATGATTTCTCGAGGCTTCTTTCGGTTTTGGACAAAATCTTTCGATTTCTCGAGGTGTTTTTTTGGTTTTGGACAGGAGCCTGACATCTGTAGGAGGGGGGGGTAAGGTGGAGAACTGTTTGCATGACCCCAGCACATTGTCCCAGAACTTTTTTCTCTTTTTTTTTAGATCTCTCAAGTTTTTCGGTTTTGGCCAGAATGCCGCAAAATTAGGTGTGTGCAAAAACCCAACGCTCACAGTTTCTGCAAAGAAAAAATACTGTTGCCTTTGCTTGCCCTTTTTAGCAAGAACTCTTGGCCCTGGCAGGAAAGGGTGAACCACGTTTTCGTGGCCAAAGAAGCGGGGAGATGTTGCCCTGGTCGATTGGCCCAATTGGAAATCGCGGCAATGCTCACCACGATCGTGAGAGAACCCACGAAGCGGCAAAACAATAAGGATGGTGCTAACATTAGAGGTAGATTGCGGTATGTAGCTTCACCTTTGGGCAATAGTTCTCAACCTGGAACATCCGAGAAGCTGCCTACACAAGCCCAGAAATGGTGACAGCTACCCCTCGTAGACACATTGGTACATGGGATGGAATGGAAGAGGGTGGGAGTTGAAGTGCTTTTGGAGTTGCTTTGAAGGGAGACCAAAGGGAACCCAACCATTTCTAGGGGGTCACCAGTCGGAAACGAACCCACACGAGCCATGGTCAGAACCTGCGCCTGAGAAGAAGATTGGAACAGTAATGAGTGCCTTGATGCTTTTGGCAAATTTAGTGAGTGCCCCTCATGCCCCTCCATAACCACAGGCCGCTGATAGACCCCGAAACTCATCTGGTCCATGCTTAGAGCCTTCAGCCTTTCGGGCCTTTGCCCCCACCTTCAAAAGGCTCTGCAGAGCGGCGGCCCGCACAAAGGGCTCGGAGTCCTCCAGCCGGCCCACCACACGAGTGATGACCTGTCGGTTCTTTCCATGTCGTCACAGCGGCATTGAGACCGAAACAAAACT